ACAAGAGTACCAAATGTGGGATAACTCCTCTCCGCCCTGGGTTGGGTGAGAGGCGGAGGCTTTAGCGAGGGAGCACGCGGCGCGGACGCGACGCGCCAATTGAACCGATCGGACGAGCTCGCGAAAAGGGAGTGGCTCACTGGCCGGTTACGCGCAGTCGCCCTGTGGTGCGTAAACGGGAGCGACCGGTAACGGGTTAGAAGCCAGCGCGCGCGGCGGACAACCGAAACGGACGTACGTAGGCGCAAAAGGGACGGGGGCGAGCTTGCCCCCGTTTACTGGTGGGGACGGGTGCCAGGTCTTAACCCCGCAGGGGGACGCCTCGGACACCTGTCCCAGTACAGTAGTACAGTACCTGCCGCCTAGTGCGTGCCGGGTACTGTACACAATTAAAAAACTAGCGCCATAATTGCTACTACCGCACGGCCGCTGCTACTACACGTGTGCACCACTGTACACGCGTGTTGCTTACAGACTACCGCACGGACGACACGTGTGCTAACGTACACGTACGCCAGATTACGACCGCTCGGCATGCGCGCGCGCTCGCTACACGTGGGCACAGCCGCCCACGTGTATACCGTATACGGCCGTCCGATGACCTCCGCGCGCTCGCGCCGGTCATTATACTACACGTCACACCCTTCATCTTGACCGTCTGGCCGAGATAATCCCATTGTCCTCCATGTTTGAGAGTAGCTAGGACCATGAAAAGGGCGTCCTTTGCGGTGTACTGACATCGCCGCCCACGGCCAACGTTGTAATTATTGGCCAGGAAGGTGCGGACTTTTCCGTAGAGCTGAATAAACTCCTTGATGGTAAAGTTTGTTAACTGAACAATGGCAGTGCCTCCTCCGTTATTATCAAATGTGTCCAGAATGGGGCTGTCTGAATCATTCTCCTCGTCAGTGTCCGCTTGTGCCTCGCAGGGATACTGCGCGAGAGCGGCTTCGCGGCCAATGGCCGCATCCGCCAAAATCTGTGAAGCGGCTTTATGCATCATTGGGCGTTATCACTTCCATGACGGCCAGAGCGAGATCGGAATGATGATGCGGAGGGGGGTTGGCAAACCGTGGCGAGCTGTCGGGGGAGGTAGGTGTGGTTGCTGTTGGGGAGGTAGAGGTAGGTTTGGTTGCTGATGGAGGAGGTGGGGGTGGTCGCCGCCGTCGGGGGAGGTGGGTGTCGTCGTTGTGAGGGAAGGTGGATGTGCCGCTGTTAGGGGAAGCAGGTGTAGTGGCCGTCAGGGGAGGTGGATGTGGACGCCGTCAGGGGAGGCAAGTGCCGCCGCCGTCGGGAAAAGTGAGTGTCGTCGCCGTCGAGGAAGGGTATTGTCGTCTCTGTGAGGGGAGGTGAGTGCCAACGCCGTGGGGAGAGGTGGTTGTGATAGCCGTCAGGGGAGGGAGTGCTGCTGCCGTCGGGGGAGGTAGATGTGGCTGCCGTCAGGGGAGGTGTGTGTCGCGGCCGTCGGGGGAGGTGGGCGTGGTCGTTGTGAGGGGAGGTGGATGTCGCTGCCGTCAGGGGAAGTGGGTGTATTCGTCGTCAGGGGAGATGGATGTGGACGTCGTCAGGGGAGGGGGGTGTCGCCGCCGTCGGGGGAGGTGGATATGGGCGCCGTCAGGGAGCAGGTGGGTGTGGGCGCCGTCACGGGGAAGGTTGGGGTGCTCGCCATCAGGGGTGGCGAATGGGGCCGTCGTCCGGGGCAAGTTTGGGGGTAGCTGTCATGGGAGGTGAGTGCGATTACGTGAAGATATGCAGGGATGGATCGCATTGTAGTGAGATGGCATGATTTGAAAAGACAGCCCAATGCTGATGATGCGTTTCTGCGCTCAGCATTGGTGGCACTGCTCATGGTATGATTGACTAGAATGAAATATCAAAAATATTTATAGGAATTAGGGGGAGATCGAATTGGGAGATAGTCTTTCCGTATTTACTCGGTCGTTTCCGTTGCTACCCCCATGGTTACTGTATGGCAATAATATGTGCGTTGTCAATTGACAACTGTTCAGAAGGTCTACTAGATATACTCTGTAAATGCAGACTTCGTGCGTAATTAACGACATATTGTTGAAAGATTGAGTCGTTACCGAAAACACCAGATTGCTACGTATAGCTGGATAAATTTCAAATTTATTCTGCATTTTTGATGACAACGTGTGTACTCAATTTTGACTGGATGATTACAGTACTACAAAAAATGTACCCAAATATTAATCAAAGATAGAATAATAACGATCACTGTCTCTGTCGGCCGTGTACAGCTCTAACCCAAGACGAAGGCGGCGCTTCGCACGGTATTGTTCCTGCGCACGCCTCCTCTTCTGTACTGTATCCTCCCCAATCGCGTATTGCCTATTTTTAACCTGATTGTGACGGTTCAAATCAGCAGCACGGAGCGGATGCCACTTGACATGGAGATTTGTCAGGCTGATACACAAGCGGAAAATCTTATCATAACTTTTCTCAGCTCACCTGTTTTTGCTTGACAAAATATTCCAGTAGAGAGGGAGCACGCGGCGCGGACGCGACGCGCTAATTGAACCGATCGGACGAGCTCGCGAAAAGGGAGTGGCTCACTGGCCGGTTACGCGCAGTCGCCCCGTGGTGCGTGAACGGGAGCGACCGGTAACGGGTAAGAAGCCAGCGCGCGCGATAGACAACCGAAAACGGACGTACGTAGGCGCGAAAGGGACGGGGGCGAGCTTGCCCCCGTTTACTGGTGGGGACGGGTGTCAGGTCTTAACCCCGCAGGGGGACGCCTCGGACACCTGTCCCAGTGTACAGTACCTGCCGCCTAGTGCGTACCAGGTACTGTACGCAATTAAAAAACTAGCGCCTCAATTCCTAATTACCGCGCGGACGCTGCAGGTACACGTGTGTACTACTGTACACACGCGCTGCTTACAGACTACCGCACGGATGCCACGTGTGCTAGCGTACACGCGTAATACTAGCAAACTACCGCTTGGCCGACACGTGCACTACTGTACACGTACGCCAGATTACGACCACTCGGCACGAGCGCGCTCCCTACACGTGGGCACACCCGCCCACGTGTATACCGTGCACGGCCGCACGGATAATAATCTCCCCGCGCGCGCGTCTGTCGTTATACTACAGTGCACAATCTCCCGAAGAAATTTTCCACAATTATTCGATCTGACAAAATCTTCTTGTTTTGAGCCTCATCTTCTAACGTCAAGTGTCCGTTCACGGGTTTGCGCCTTGGTATGACAGATTGCAAAAACTCACTTGAGCCCTGATAGCCCTTATCAGCCAATAGTCCCCAGGTATTATCATACTTTTCACATAATATGCCAACGTCTGCAATGTCCAGCTCGTCTTCCTTCTTGGCCATAGCATCAATGTGAAAATCATCCATTTTTCTCATAATGTCGATGTCAGCAACGGAGCCCGGATAATGATCTCAGCATCCAATAGACAGTCCGTTTGGTAACACGGAGACCTCCACCTTATAACCGTACAGCTTATGCTTTCCGCTAAAGTACTTCTTTCCCTCTTCCATAGATCCACTTGGTCTGAAAGCTTGCTGAAAAGTAACATCTGTAGCATAAAGACAAAACTTAAATGTCTTAAACGTCTTTTGTGTCTGTAGCATCTTTGCCATTGTCCAAGACTCCCCCAGGTTAAGCACTAAAGTCTCATATAGTTCTTCGAAAACTACATTAATACACTTCATAACCGTGGGCTCAAACGTAGGACAACTCACACCAAACAGCCTTTACAAGTAGTGCCATTGCCCACCGTGTTTAAGTGCTGTCAAAGTGAACAACAAAACATCCTTGCCACTAAACTGTGACTTTCGTCCTTGCCCCACATTCCAGTTGGTTGTGACGTGGTCTTGCAAGAGAAGCCAAAGCTTTCCAAACTCATTTACATCGAAGTTTGACATTTGCATGATCGCCTCAGATCCTCCTGTGTTGTAAAATTTATCAAACACAGGAGAGCTGGACGTGCATTCGTCATCAGAGTCTTCTTTTGTGGGGTTGATGTCGTATTCGTCAATTTCTGCCTCGCGTTCAACAGCTGCATCGGCAAGCAGTCTCAGTGCGTTATTAACGCCGACATGCTCCGCTAAAGGAGCATTGGGAGGTGTAGGACGGGCACGGGAGCGATTGGGAGAAACCAGCATAGTGGTGAGGAAAAAAGGAGCTGAATTGGTCTGGTGATAGCGCTGGGACAGAATTTGTGCACAGTTAATGCGCAATGTTGAAGTGAATTCGGTGGGAAATGTGTCTTATGAGCGTTTAGCGTGGCAATGCGCAAAGGGGCGGGGTTGTGTAAAAAAATTTGAAATTCTGCATTTCGACGCTGTTTATGATAATTGATACTGTATTGTGTACAGGGCGGTACCCTATTTAGTGCTACCCCGTGTAGCGTGATAAAATAGGCACTAAATCGGGTTTGGCACAAGAACGGTAACTTAACAAGAAGACTGAATATAGTATTTAACTAAGGAAACCCGTCAAGGTCGTCTGTTTCTGCTTCTTCTGTGGCTTGAGAGCCTCAAATATGATGCGTCTAGCCTTGCGCAAATGTGAAGACGCATCAGGTAGCGAGAGAGCTACCGCTGCCGCCTCTAATTTTGAGAACTCATTCGCTGCTTCGATCAAAGAGAGAGAACGAGCCTGACTAGCATTAGAAATCTCCTCCATCACTGTATCTGTATGCTCTGCTTCAGTTCGCCCAGATGAAACACACCTAGACCCATCCATTCCGCTGAATGGGCCCGGGGGGCACTTGTTTATCATACCTTTTGGTGTAGAGCCGTTAGAGTAGCACTAAACCGGGACATACACTATATATAGAGGCACTAAATCGGGTACCCCCCTGTAATCGCTCTGTCTTTACGTAAAGTTGATGTGTTTTTCGTAAATGCAGCCATTCTTGTTTATGTGGTCATGATCTCTACAGTGCGGATGGATTTGTCGAAAAGGCCTACTGTAGCGATTCAGAGCTCAAATGATCCCGCAACAATATCGAGCAACCCGTACACTTACCAATACCCTACATACGATATGTACCGCACATGCCGGTATGGCAACAATGAGTTTATAAAGAGGCACACCAGAGGCGCTCAAACTAACCCTACCACGCATCTAAAGCAACGCTGCGATTGCTGGCACTACACGCTGACATCGCTACGAAAACATCTTCACCGGCTTCTTCTCGTACCACTCCGTGACCTTGGGATGCTCCATAACAGCACTGTAGGACTTAACAATTCTGACATACCCCTCCAACAAATCCTTATCTACAAAGTCCAGCATGCCGCACCTGATATTAGTGACCAAGTGACAGATGTGCAAATCGGCGATAGTCATGTTACCTCCGACGGCCCACGGCCCATCGCCGAAGGCCTCGAGCCTCTTCTCCAGCGCGCCGACGTACCTCGGCACATCGACTTTGGAGAACTTGTCCCTTTCCTCGCGGAGTTTATCCTTATCATCGCCGCGGTAGCGGTACATGGCGTGGGTGACGTCATCAATGACACCGCCCACCTCGTCCACCTTGGCGGCCTCCAGCGGGTCGGACGGATACAGACCCGCCAGCTTTCCACAGTAGCGCAGAATCGCGTCCGACTGGGCCACCTGCATGCCGTCCACGGTCAACATCGGCAGCGCAGCGTACGGGGTTTTCGGCTTCGCCTCTTTCCAGTGGTCGAATACCACCCTCTCGTCCTCGAAGGGTATTTCGCCCACCACGAGCGCAAGGCGGGATGCTTCAGCGCGGCCCTGGAGAGTCAGAAATAGCACGAGGAACGGGGTCAGAACTTGACGCACAGAGACAGGCGCGCGAAAGGGGGAGCGAGGCTGGAACGAAGCGGGAACTTACGCGCATATCGAAGTAGGTGAGCTTGATTTCCGGCATTGTGCGAGTGTGGCTGAGCGGAGGGGTAGTTCAAGAAGCGCGGATCTGTTGTCTGTGTGCGAGCGGTGGGACGCGCGAAGGAACGAGCTGGCGGGCGAGGGTATTTGTAGGGGAGCGCACGCGGGGTGGTGAGTTCTGGAAGCGGACTCGCGGGGGCTTCAGGCGGCGGGAGCGGACGTGGTTCGATGGCCGCGCGCGATTGGACGGCGTGTTTCTTCCGTGTGCACGCGTTGGGCGAGCCAGTGCGGGCCCGGCCGGGACGCGATCCGGCGGCGCGCGGCGGCAGCAGCCGGAGCGGCCCGGCGGTGAGTCGGCTGCGGCAGATCGCGGTGGGCATGTGGCGGCGCGTGGTTGGGCGAGCACGCGCGAGATTATGTCACGAGTGCGGACGCGCCGTTTCCTTTTCGCGGTGTGAATCAGGAGATCCGGATGCCGGGGTTCCCCTGACCGCGGGGGGCCGCCGGCGCCGGTATATTTACCAACTCTATGTCCTATCGTACGCCTATAAATAAGGCTATGCCTTATTTGAGTGTTTGTGCGGAATCACACGCGGGCACCCGCTCCCCGCTGCCCCGCTGCCCCCGCGCAGCGCGGCTGCCGCGCGGCGCGCATCATCACGCGCACGCCGCTTTTCTCCGCGCCGCGGCCTTGCCTGGAAGCGGCCCTTGCGTGTCGGGGACGGGCTTGTCCATGGGATGCCTTTCTCTGGCGACAGCGGTTTGTAGGGCGGGACCCTTTGTAGGGATGGTGAGGATCGTATATATGAATTTTCCATATATTTTACAAGTTTATAATATACAAGATTTGTTGATATTTATGGAATAAATAACGAAACTTGAAACGAATGTGTGTGCAGTACCCTGGTACTTTATGTTACGTAGCATGGGAATGGCACAACCACCCGTGCTGTACCGGTGCTGTACCCCTGTTATCCGCTGGAGCTGACGCATCAGTAACACATGTTAGAGTGCACGCCGATGCCTTCCATCCTGCGAGACTTTTGGCAACTTTACATTGCTTCATGCTGCCCGCGCACTTGTACAGTATGATACAGTACACAGACAGCTTGCGTATTGGGTACGCTAAACTTTACTCCATACGCAGCCCGGGCAGTTGAGCAGTACACAGACAGCCTGCGTATTGGGTCCAAGTCGCCGTTGCCGCTGCCGTACCATCCACTGCTGCGCAAGAATGCATTAGGTACAGTCGACCCCCCTCATTAGTGCATCCCCGTGCCAGACCCCCCAAAACGAACTGTTGACGTCTCGCCCTAAAGAAGCAACAGCAAAGCGGTTTGTAGGTCTCTCTTCAGTCTCATTGCTGGGATTCCCAGCGTACAGTTGTACACGTTTCGGAATCCGTGACATGGGCTGAAAAGCGCACTGTTGACGTACATGTGCTAATAAAGTACGCACTATGGAGGATACCCCCTGTATACACTACCGTACGACCGTACGATGTCCCTCTGTGGGGAGGAGCCACAATGTCTTCGATCAAAGCCGACATTTTGCCTTTAGTACGTGGCCCCCTAACTCGTAATTGCTGTCGCTGTCGTAGGTGCCATCACTGAACACCCTCATTCATCCACGTAACGATGACCGAAAAACGGCCCAAGTACTTTAATTAAGCCTATTGAGCTATCACGTTTACAGAGCGATTACAATTCACCTTCGCGCTGCACCATCTAAACCACAGCGCCATCCCCGACCGGGCACAGCACGTGTTGTTAGTCGCATTAGTTCTGGGCTTCAGCCTGCTTCTTGTACCACTCGACCACCTTCGGGTGCTCCTTGACCGTGTTACACACCTTGGTCAACCTCGTGTACTTGTCAAGCACATCCTTGGGGACGTGATCCAAGTACCCGCTGGTGAGCATGAGGTACATAGCGTAGATGGCAAGATCAGCGACCGTCAGGTTCTCCGTGACGGCGTACGGGCCGTCTCCGAACTGCTCGAGCCTCTTCTCGATGCCGCCGCAGTACCTGGGGATCTCCACGTCCACAAACTTCTTCCTTTCGGCGCGGAGCTTCTCCTCACCCTCGCCAGACCCGCGTCCGGAGATCGTGATCACGTCCGACGTCGTGTCCATCAACTCGTCCACCTTGAGCGCGTGCTTGACGCACCCGGGGTACAGCCCGGCCACGCGCCCGCAGTACCGCAGGATCGCGTTCGATTGCGCGTGCACCATCCCGTCCACGTAGAACACCGGCACAGAGCCGTACGGCGTGTTCGGCTTGCGCGCAGCCCACTCGCCAAACCCGAATGTGTCGTTCTCAAACTCCACGTCGCCGATCGCTAGCGCGAGGCGCGCAGCTTCGCCACGGCCCTGTTGTGTGGGAGTGTGTGTGTTGGAAAGAGGTTAGTGTTGGGAACTGGGGAAGGCGCTCAGGAGACCAGGGCTGTGAGTGCTTCAACTTACAGAGACGCCAAAGTAAGAGAGCTTAAGTTCAGAAGACGGCATTTTGATGGTTGAGATAGTGACGGAAATACGAGGTGGGATGGTAGTCCTTTGGGAAGTCGATGAGGAAGTGATGTGAAGGGACGGGGAGGGTGTGTGCCCTGGCTTTATATAGGAAGAAAGCGAGCAGTGTATCGACAGCAGCCATGCTCACATCGATGGCATGCAGAGTGCAGACGGCGACGTCGAAACTGAGTCATCACCAGCGGGATCGCATGTGGGGTGCAAAGTGGAGCTGGAAAGTCGACGAAGAGTATTGGAGGATGGGACATGCTGTGCGTGACGTCGTGCAGGCACGTTGTGGGTTAGAAAGAAGAGAAATGGGCTGGGAGAGACGAATTGCCCTCACAAATGCTCTGCATCCAATGATGATGTGCCAGTGAGTTGCTCTTGCTTTCGGCCACATGTGCCAGGTGTCAGTACCAGCAATGCCCAAGGTACAGAAGTACTCGCGTGAGGCACGAGTGCAGTACAGTGTAGAAGACATTGGCCCGCTGCAGATATTCCTTTCTAACGGTGTATTCCACAGCTCAGCCAATCAAAACTCGCTTAGGAATGTGCTATTATAAACTCTACCTGTTTCTAGCCAATCATATTCGCCGTGATGGACTTGGTTATCATACTTAATAGACAAATATAAATTCAGTGAAAAATCCACATCGGACAGATTTGTTGCGGCACTTCCAGTGCGGCGCTCCCCTATGGTCTAGTGGTTAGGATTTCCGACTCTCACTCGGGAGGCCGGGGTTCAATTCCCCGTGGGGGAATATTTTTTTGATTTCGTTCCTTATTGTTTTTACGGCCCTATGTCTGCGCAGCACTGCCCACCTTTCAAAAGTCTAGCACATTCCATAGACGTCGTCATCTCTGCTCTGACCAACGCGGTTTCGATTTCTCTTGATTGCACCCAATTAGCATGCGCACCTGTCCTAGCTTTTGAACGGACCGCTCCTCGCCTGCCATGACACAACAATACCCAAACCCTTTGTTCTCCTTCTTCGCAGTATACCTTTCTGGAACAATCTTCTCTTCCGGAAAGAACATCGGCCGTTTCTCCTTTCTGGGCGCTGCAAACTTCCAGGAAGCTCTCCACTTCTTTTTTTAGCAACTCCACGTACCTTCATATCATTTTTACATCAGACTTACACTTGTATGATGCTGTCCTCCACTGCCGTAAAAAAAAGAAGTATCTCCCTGCTTGGCAACAGTGATAATTAAGGCGCAAAACGCTACCCTATCACGCTAATAAGATAAACACATGCACGTCAGATGCAGTCGCTCACCAGCGGACCCGAGAAAACGAAGGCGTACTGTCCAGTATGACTTGCATTCGTAATGGGCGCATGCTGGTCCATGCTGCTGACACCGCCCACCCCCGCCAAGTGTAAGCTAAAAATCTGCAGTATGAGATACTGTAGTGTATGCCCCCCCTCATATTCTGTGATAAAGAAAAAGAGAAAATACAGGGGGTCCCACGCAATAGTGCTATACCGGAACAGACCTCGACATATGGCACTATTGCGTGAATGGCACTATACTGAAAGCGCCAAAACACAATCATTTACATACAGTTGTCTCTGATCGCTCGCTTCAAACAGGACATGTCCTGGAAGCGAGCGATCAGAGATGCCAGGCTTTGAAGAGGAATTCTACTGTACCTCTCAATAGGCGACAGCTGCATACGTCCCTGCCTCCCCCCCTGTCCGCTCTCTTCTCCCTTGCACTCGCTCTACCCCTCCCCCCCTGCGGCGCCCCCCCAGATGTTCTCTGCCAAAGTCAAGGAGCAGATTCCGTGCCCGCTGTGCGTGATGCGGCGCTACGTGCTGTGCGACATGTGCAGCGGGCACACGTGTATGAACACGTGTAGGAAGTATGATAACCGTGCCAAGGCGTTTTGCATAGCACTAATGCGTGGGAAGCACTACTCAAAGTGGCACTATTGCGCGACCCCCCCTGTACTTGTATTTGTATGTGTAGAGAAGTCCCCTATCCTCTCTGAGCTCTGTGCAATACCTTCACACATATCACCTCCCTGAAACTTTTTACGTCTCTTGCTCTTTATCCTGGTCCCTTCCAAAGTTCCTCACTGGGTGCTCCAATCCAAACAGCAGGAGGTCGAACTGCCGGCCCCGTGGGTAGAGGTTGCGTCTTTAGACGAGGGTAGAGGGCCCGCTTGTTTAATTGAACCCCTTATCCGATGGATTATCACAATCCGCACGGTGATTCGTCTTTTTCGTCGTAGAAACTGGGTTCAACTAAGGGCCCCGTCTGCTTCTATTGTCGTAATGTAGTCCCCCTCACAGGGTTAGTCCAATGGGCATAAATGAGGCGAAGGATCGCTGTTGACCCAAACTTTGTTGACAACCTCAGTTTCTATTTGGATTGCAGTCAGAACTTCCGCAAGTTGCACATGTTGACTCACTGTTGTGAGGGGGCTTTCGGCGAGGGTCTTGTGGAGCATAAAACGCCACCGCAGTGATTTGTTGAGCAGTCTGATCAAGGTTCCGCAGGATCTGTGAGAGCAGCTATTGGGTTAAGGAGAGTTATCCTTTAAAATCTAGGCAACGCTTCCATGGTGTACTATATCTAACATGATCCTGTGTATATTTTGGATATTTTGCTTTGCCTTCACCAACGATAAGAGCATGGTGCGTGAACAGCATACGAAGACAATCTCAAATGTGATTTTGGACACTAAACTACATTATACTGTACTGGTCATCTGATTTAGATATTTGAGACAGGCTACGCAAGTGATAATCCCAAGCAGAGCCCAGCTGCTGTAGTCGGAACTGCCTTGTTTGGATGCCGCATGGCAACTATACTGAGACTCGCTATGGTTGGAGTAACTCTAAAAACTACACGCTTGAATGATGCGCATGAGCTTGGATGATGCACATGGACTTGGATGTCTCAGTATACTACGGTGTACAGTACGTGTTCGCATGAGGCATCAAATCTTTCCTGCTGGTTAGCATGCCTATCATCCAGATACGTATGATCCCAAAAGTGAGGAGGAAGAAAATGAGAATCACAAGTAAGGCGCTTACCTCGACGTGATTCAATACAAGCATTGTCCTCGTTAGCTTTCTATGAAATGGAGGACAACAACTACGACATCGTGCCAAATAGGTATGAAGGCGGTAAGGGGCAACGGAGGATGCAATTGTTCCGCCAAACAGTCGCGAAGAGCACGCATCGAGGAACAGAGATGAAGGCCTGCACGGTCATGAGCTTATCATCAGCTTTTTTGAAATTGAATGGGCATCCGAATGTCAGGCAGGGCACAGTCCTATGAAGGATAATCCCGACGTGAGCGATAATCATGTCAGACGCAGAACCAAATGTTATGCTACGGACAGCAGTCGAAACGGATCGGCTACAGCTACTCTGTCAGGTGGAGTCTGGATTGTCCTAAGCAATGCTACAGCAAGCTGATAGCATGATAGCATGAATGTCGCATTACGGTTTTCTGGATGCAGAGTGGAAACTCAGAGGCTGGTTTGGCGACCAGAATACGTCTGCCAATACATGCAGACATCCAGTGAATAGGCGCGGGAGCGCAAACTGTGCGCTGTTCGTGACCTGAATCGGCTCCACGATGAGAAAATGGTTGGAACCTCGACAGAGAAGGCGAGGCGCGAGTTAGTGACTTGAAACGAAACTGTACTGGGCGGGCTTTAAAAGACCCTACCGATGTCTGTGACAGACCAGGTGAATCGCATGAGTGGAACAACATAAACCATTGAGGAAGTTTGACCATACTATTATGGGTTGGTATGCCTGTTGAACGCTGTTAAAGGGGGTTTGATCGAGGGGCATAAAAGGGACGCTTGCAGCATTGGCAAGTAGCACGCCGATGTAGGATAGCTGCAAAAGGGAGATGGAAGGGGTTTCGCTTCTTGGCACCAGGGAACAACTCTCGAGCGTGAGGCATCATGAGATTTGACTTGCGCCCTCCTTCCTCCTGCGCTACGCTACGAAGCAAACGGTTTCGAGCGCACGTGTAGCGTTCGTTGCGACCTTTCGTGACGTCGATGACAAGCGTAACAAGCCTGGAACATTCTTAGAACCCTTTAAAATAGTAATTCTTTACAGCCCACGACCTCTACAGACTCTTTACTTCATGCTCTGCATTTCCGTCCATTGCAAACTCCTCACTCAGGGCTCCATTCCCTGTAGCAGGAGGGCGAACTGGCGGCCGCTTGGGTGGATGCTGCGGCTCCAGACTCTTCTGAATGGCCCGACTGTTGAAATTGAACGCCCTATCCAAAGACTGGAACCAGTCCCCAGTATGATCCGTCTTATTAACGGTAGGAACTGGGTACAAGTTCATCTCAATAATCATGCTATCTCCTCGTTGTAACTGCTGTCTTGATTTCCCATCAAACGACGCCCATGCATGTGATCGTGCCTCCTCGGATATCTGTATTCTAATCTTTGCAGAATCTGGGAATACGATCGGTCGGAAAGATAGACTGTGTGGGCAGATGGGTGTGAACAAGATTGCAGGCACTGATGGATGTACCATAGACCCTCCAGCAGACATTGAGTATGCCGTTGAACCTGTTGGGGTTGACATGATGATTCCATCCGCTTGTACTGTCGTTATGTACTTTCCATCACAGAAGCAGTCCAGATTGCATAAATAGGGCGAAGAGCCTCTGTCAACCACAACTTCGTTGAGAACCTCAAATTCCTTTCGAATTTCATCTCCCCGCACAATTCGACACGTTAGTCTCATGCGTAGGCTCAGGTTGCAATTACCTTTCATCACATCCTCAACTTCGGTGCGGAAGTGGTCGTACTGGAATGGAGTCAAAAAGCCGAGACTCCCCAAATTAAAGCTGATCACGGGTGGGACGGCTTGTTTGAATAGTGAAGATACATGCAAAATGAGCCCATCTCCCCCGAGGCAGACAACAAAATCCACAATCTCATGTAGAGATTTGGTCGAGGAAAACGTATCGAGGTACAAACCATTGGCGATTGCCTGAGTTTGCACCTGGGGCTCGACGATAACGTTTAACTTTTTCACCTCCAGAAAATACCGGGCTGCTTCCAGCACGTTTCCCATCAAAGCGGGACCCCTCTTCGCAAGCAACAGGACAGTCTTCGGATCCTTATTCCAGACGAGCATGACTTGCTCGGTCGCAGCGCCCCTAAATGCAATATGACTTCCCTCCACACTCTCTCGCTCGCACATGTACCCATCACATCGTATCAATGTAATCGGTGACTTGACACCCTGCCCCCCTTTGCCTTCCTTCAGATCAAGTTGACCAAGACCTGCTTGCGCTCTCATCGCAGCGGCTGCAGAAATCGGACGATTAGTAGAATCGGCGCTCTTTAGATCTTGCTCAGTTATCGAACTAGGCCGGCCAAGTACGTTAGGTGGTGTAGCCACCATCGGGGAAACCCTCGCTGACGGCAGTTCACCAATTTCACTCTGCCGCTTTACACCCTTCACTTCTAGTTCGGTCGCGATATCCTCCAAAATCTCCTCCAGCGGGCGGTCCGCATCGACGCGGGCAGCGCGAGACGCGAGGTGGTCGTACATTTCCGCGGTATTCTTCCCGTACGTCGCGAACAACTCTGCGACATTCGCGCCAAGATCCTTGTCCAGCACGACGAGCCGCTCGAGCACCTCCTGACTATCCGCCGGCCTAAGCTTGAGGTTATACAAAGAGTCGGTCTCGGGATCGAGACGGCGGTAGCGAATTCTTCTGCTGAGCGTATCCCTCGGGGCATGCAACATGAATGCCACGCTATAATCAAAGCCGGCCTCTGTCAAGGCGGCGTGTTGATGGTTGTTGCGGGGGAAGCCGTCCAACAAAAACCCGCGGTCGGCGCAGTCGACTTGACGCAAGCGCTCCAGAACCATGGGGATGACTATGTCGTCTGGGACTGGGGCGGTTGCGCGGACGAAAGGGCGGGCCTTTACGCCCCAATCGGTCTCGTAGAGAACGTGTGCTCGCAAAAGCGCACCGGTCGAGATGTGGACCAGGCCGTGCGAGTTGCTCAATGACTCGCATAGCGTGCTCTTTCCGGAGCCCGGAGGGCCCCACAAGACGAAACCGGGGGCGCCTTGTACCGGGGGAGAATTGGATGCTGAAGAATTGGAGGCTGAAGAATTGGAGGCTGATAAATTGGAGGCTGACGAATTGGAGGCTGAAGAAGTGGAGGCCTCGCACCTCGGGGGTTGGCGGCGGCGGCGGCGGGGGAGGGCGGCGCGCAAAGGGCGGTGCGAAGGGTGCAGGCGGGTTGGGAGGTCACGAACGGCGCTGCTGGAGAGGAGCGGGGTCGAATGAGCGAAGGCTTCCATTGTGGCGGCTGGTTTAGGATGATGAACTGCCATACCTGGGTAAGCACGTGCTCAATAGATGCTCAATGGTCAGTGAGTAAAGAAACGCGTTGGGATGGGGGTTGGGAGGATGGGGATAACCGAACGCAATCCTGGAGAACCGATGGTTGAAAGAAGATTCATAGATTGGCGCAAGACGTGTAAAGATTGTGAGGTTGTACGCGAGGAGCAGTGAGACTATATCTTCCAAGTGGCATCATACCATTCATGCACAGAGCAATGTCCAGAATCTGAAATGATCTTTGTGCGAAAACGCCGCGGAGGACGAGAGTTGTTGTAAGGCACCATTTCGACTTTCATTACACCTCGTTACCCACGTGTACAAGTGTACTTCCAGCTCCTGTACTCACGAAACCCTTCTTCAGCACCTGGCCATCCTGTTGGCATGTACCTCATTTTCCATCCAAGGTTGTTGACGACAACTGGAGCACGCCTGAGATTCGACATGTCCGGCCATGGCCACGGACACGGTGGAGGGTGCAGCCACGAGCACCACGATCATGACCACGGCGAGGACAGCGGCGGCGAGGCCTGGTCACTCTATGAGCAAATAGACACCAACGCCCTCAAATGCCTCAACGAAGCCCAACCAAATTCCCTCAAGCATGTTCTTCGCCCATGGCACCAGCGTTGCGATGCCAGTCTACCGATGTTGGTCTCTGACGCTGACGAGCAGCTCCTCATGTGCATCCCATTCACATCTCCCATCAAGCTCAAGTCGATCTGTATCATCGGTGGTGGTGACGTGGAGAACCCGGCAAAGATGAGCGCTTTTATCAACAACGAAACCATGGACTTTGGAAACGCCGAGCAGACCACGCCAGTGCAGACGTGGGAACTTGTCGAACGAAATGTAGAAGGCGCCGTCGAGTATCCAACAAAGTACACAAAGTTTCAAAATGTCAGTAAGCTTTGGTTGTTTGTCAGCGAAAATTTTGGCGCTGAGGTTACGAGGATTATGTACATCGGCTTGAGGGGTGAGTTCACAAAGTATAAGCGCGAGGCTGTTCATACGGTTTACGAAAGTAGACCACTGAAGGCAGCTAAGGATGTGATGGCAAATCATATGCAAGGGATGGGCATGTGAGTGCGATATCATTTCGGTGCAGATTCGTGAACCATTTGTGGCGAATCCGTAGGTACTGTACCTATTGTGGTCTTAGACGTATCTTCTTTTCTTGCAGTTTCAGATTGAAACAAAAAAGACAAGTCGCGAGTTCACGCTATCATGCGCTTTGCAGAAGCATTGACACAGCCAGGCGATGACGTACTGTACTGCGCCCTCTTCAATGAGAACCGGACAGAGCGGCTCCAAAATTAGCAGCGTGGCGTTGTTCAAGTGGTGATATGTCATGTGTGCAAGCTCATTTAGAATTGAACAGGGATCCTGCGGAGCTAGCCCCACAACGCGCGCTATTTCGCCCGGAAATTCGTTATCCTCATTAGCACCCACACCGACGAGACTTGACACGGTCCTTCAGCATAATCATGCGGAATGCGATTCAACATTGTCTTGTCGTCGAAAGTCATCGGGTCTTTGCGATGAGAGACTGGGTTGGGAAGTGAATAGTACTGCTTCACAATACTGACTTTATGATAGTACAGCATCTACACACGGAGGCGCGCTTTTGTTAATGACGACTGCAAGAAGATACAGACCATGTGCCAAACATGTAGTATCACCACGTGAACCTGCAAGCCTACCAAAGGGTCGTTTACAGGATGAGGTCATCACAAGACGAAAAGACGCAATCTATGTGGGCAGCGACATTGACATGCGAAGCGCTGTACCGCTCGAGATATTGTTTCATAAGAAGCTACTCGCAACCTGAGTCACACAAGTCTCCCAGTAAACATACCGAGTCAGCAGGCGTCTGATCTAACCTACGTAGGGTGACCTTGCTGCTTGTATAAATCATAGCACGCCTTAAGAATTTTGAATGTAAGATCGATCTCCTTTCCGATCAAAACAATGATGTAGGACTAAGGGGTTGCACTCAGCTGATGGCTATGGAAATTAGAACATATGGTGTCTCATCTCATCTTAAACCAATAAGCGCGTGCGTTGATATTGTGCATTTACGAAAAAGGGCCTTGCAGATTTGTTCAGGGTTGGTCCTGCAACGGTGCAAACAGTGGCAACACCACCAGCGCTCATATCAAGCCTTGAATCTCTTCAACCGAGATGGTGCTCACTCAAAATGAGCTCATTTTCCAAAGTCGACACCTCTATAGGCGATACTCTTGTCCAATGAGACAAATATTACAGCATTCAGCCTAGCACCAGCGAATTAATCAATTGCAATACTAGACTTGTCAGCATAGACGGTCAGCTCAAACCCTCGTCCATCTGCATATCTCCAAAAGCTCTAAAACGTTGAGACAAGGGCAAGATGGCGAAGCGTTTCATCAACGACCCCGAAGATGTCGTTCCAGACCTCATGCAAGGTCTCGCCCTGGATTCTTCCCGTGTCACCCTCGTCGATCCAGCATGTGGTCATTCCATTGCCGTCCGCTCCTCGCTTGCAGCCAAAGCATATCCTCCGCGCGTCTCCGTTGTTAGTGGTGGCGGTTCAGGGCATGAACCCATGGCTGGCGGCTACGTTGGCGATGGGATGCTGGCTGGGGCTGTCGCGGGAGCAGTTTTCGCTTCACCTTCTATCCCAGCCATTTCTACTCTGCTGGAAACTGTCGCGCCCTTTTCATCTGGCATTGTCGTCATAGTCATGAACTACCAAGGTGATCGTCTCAACTTTGGGGGAGCTGTCGATGCCTTGAAGGCTAGTAATCCTAACTGTCCCGTAAACATTGTCGTCGTCGGTGATGATGTGGCACTGCCAGGCAATTCCGAACCTAGAGGCATCGCTGGGACAATATTCGTGATCAAGGTTGCATGTGCTGCAGCGGACGATGGACGCCCCATGAAGGAGGTTGTCAAAATAGCAGAGACTGCATCTAAGAGCGTTGTAAGCTATGGTGTTGCGCTTGAACCGTGCACGATACCAGGGCACACAGTTGATACCGAGCGTCTCGGCCACAATGAATGTAAGCATTGCCGGATATTCACTTAATAACTACTCATGAAAAGATATCTTCTCCAACTCCGACCAACAGAAACTCTAACAATTGTCACGACTACACTGTTCTAACATCGCACTCAATGAACACGTACTTGCTGTCTCGCTGCATAGACGAGTGCGGAATGGGCATTCATGGAGAAGGAGGAGTAGAAAAACAAGTATTTCCAAAGAACGCTATGTCTAGCTTCACGAGCGATGTTGTGACAACGATATGCACTCATCTAGATGTCGCTCTGCAGGAAAAACTCAAACAAACAAGTACTTGTAGTGCATTGGCTGTGATGGTCAATAACCTTGGCGCGGTGCCGACAACAGAAATGCTTATTGTGCGCAAGGCAGTTGCTGATTTTCTCTTCTCCAAAGGCGCACCTGTATTCAATGGCCAAACATACAAATCGCACATGTTTGAAGGTTTGTTCATGACGTCCTTGCAGATGGTGGGAATATCCATATCATGCTTCATGTTGCCTTGCGATGACGGTGACATGGAGCGGCTGCTACATACAAGCACCGCGGTGGATGCCTGGGATTGTGGATTTCCTCTACTCCCTTCGAGTGAACGCCGGGTAATTCCAGCGCCATCTTCAAGAACTTCACTAGAAGCGAACAAAAGCACCAAGAGAACTGGGCTTGACCCTGGAACGAAAATGAACATTTCTGCAATCACTGCTTCCCTGCTGGATGCTGCAGAAGATCTTGCCACCCTCGACAGGAAGACTGGAGATGGCGACATGGGAGATACAGGTACGTTTTTTCAGCCGATGTGTTTGATTATCTGCTGAGCTCGACTTACAGGGGAACAACTGATGAGTCTGACATCTGAGCTGCTACCACGAATACGTTATGTATCCGGGCTGAGCAGTGAAGCGCGCCTGTAACAGAATCCGAGCAGACTTGGATAGTGGTGCGTACTCAGCAGCAGCGGGGGACCCTTCTCATTTGTTCAAGCTCTTAGCTGTTAGTACTGGAGAATCCATGGGAGGGTCCAGTGGAGGCTTTACCTCAATCTTTCTTGACACGGCTGCGGAGTCGTTCAATAAGCAACCCGAATATTCATGGCGCGCCGCTTTTGCCGACGCTACGCGGGCTGTGATGAAAGCTGGTGGTGCTCAATTGGGAGACCGGACACTAGTTGACGCCTTAAAACCAGCTGCTGACGTGCTGGCAGAAGGAAAACCACTGCAAGAAGCGGTTCAAGCAGCCCACACGGGATACGAGCTGACGAAATCAATGACAAAAGCAAAGCACGGTAGGAGCTCGAAGGTCCGTAGTTCGGAGCTCTTGAGCCATGGCGACCCCGGCGCGTACGCTATCTACATTATTCTGAATGCGCTGAAGAATGTGGCGCGTCAGTAGTGCGAAAAGCCGCTCATAAATATTTGCGAGCTAGGAGCATAACCTTATCATGAAATGACGTCGATCGAATAGGCTCGGACTCTACATAAAGCGGATTAAGCGTTGCCTTGATGAAGAGATCGTGTAGATCGGTGAAAAAATGTTTGATGCCGTCCTCCTCGCCAGTGTCATGCAACAGAAGAAATCGGTAGTCTATCGACAGAAAATTTCTGTCAGCATATAGCAATGCAGCGCAATAGAGCAATTTGAGGTCTGAAAACTTACTGCTTGGCGTAACAAACGCAGAAATCGATTGATCATGATATCGGTCAACAACTCGCAGATACATGTCTCTCGTGTCCCACATCTATGAGGGCATACAAGTGGGAGTCATGAACTCAAGCGTTAGAAGTTCTAAAAGGAGGGAAGGTAGGAGAAAATCATCGGCATTGTTCGAGCTCGAAAGCGCACCTTTTCGTCGACCATGTCAAGGCTGCTGTGAAGAACTAGCTGTTCCACGACGACGTGCTTGCCAGCAAACGCTTGAGGAAACGTCGCTTCGAAGACTGGTCGATCATTCGGGGAGACAATCGCCAATGTCGGCATTTTTACCCTCAACTGCAGTGGCTTTCACGGCAGATTAGTAGGAGCCGGCGCGGATGGAGGGATGGCACGGGGTGCAGATTGAACAACGGGCTTCTTAAAGCTGGCGGAAACGTAAGAGGAAATGCATTTGCTCTCACAGTTCGTTGCACTGCTGTGTCAGGAACACCTTATCATACTCACTAGCTGCGAAATCTTTCGGAAACTATCCAATTACATTTCTTATCTGAGAACCTCCCCGAGAGCTTCCACATTGAGGGCCCCAGTTCTCCCCAATGCTCGTCAGGAGTTGAGCACATGACCGTCCGGGGATGCGAACAAGGACATCATTGGATCTCCAACGTCAGTTTCAACTCTTTCCACATTGCGCCACAGCTGAAGTTGTGTCGCACAGCCCAAGCGAGATTGCGCTGAAAAACGTGTGTCGTCGAAATGGACGTGGGTGGCTCCTTTCTAGAACTCTCATGTGTTCGAATCGCACTAATTCCGGCCGGTGCGACGATAGCAGATCATCGTTTTGAGGAATTGACCTCATACCTCACTGCATTTCGAGAAGTACCAGTCAGTGCATTACCACGGCGAGCAGCAGTCCCTCGAACAACAGGAAACGCGACATTCTCGTCCATGCCAACCGCCCTCAGAGAAGCTCTTGCAGAAGCGTCTCCTCCCTCACCTCTGTTACGAAGTCACTCTGCCTCGAAAGACATTGGGCGGCCCTCTCAACCAAATTCATTTCCCTCCATTCGGAAAGGCGTTTCTCGGCAGATGGTTCCTAAGAGCAACTCCGAGCTCTCTTACTCATCGACGAAAGTTGAGCTCCAGTCTGTATCACTTCGACAGATGGAGAATTCAACCCCTCTTTCTCCACGCCATACTACCGACCTGGACATGACAGGACCTGAGGTTGATTGCTCTTTCCGTTTGCGCTATGACATTATCCATCGTGATCAGTCTGGCGTGCTTATCATGAAACCTTTTTCGGAGTGGGACGATTTTCACTCAAGCAAGATTTGGGGAGTATTTGGTATTGCTGACTGTACCCAGGATGAAGCTTTTGGAAACCCCGAAAGACGAAAGCAAGCAATTTTTGACGCATATGATGACTTCAACGAAACGCTTGATAATTTTAAAGACGCGTCAGTTCGCCGGTTGATTGTCTTCACTTCTCAAGATGCCAATCATGAAGACGCTCCTTTTGTGCTAAACGATCCAAAGTCTCCTGCAAGGAGTGCCAAACCAGCGACCCCTCTGAATTTCAGTGTAGGCTATGTCCTTGAGCGATCGAAATACGAAGAGACACGCCTGGAAATTAGAGCACAGGTTACTCATTTTGCAGGACTCCTGTTGCATGCACTGGACAGGGATTGCTGGAAAAGAAGGGAAAGCCCTCCTACAGATCTATTCTTATCACCGATCGATGAGAGATATTCTGCGGACCGCCAGTCGAAGCTCGCGAAGCGTCGCCCTGGCCGTCTCGATAAGCTGCTCGGTGACAGTTTGCTCTTAATGGGGAGCCCAGGAGAAGCTATTGCGAAATACAATTCGGCAATTGAAAAAGCAAAAGCAAACAGCGACCGGCTGTGGCTTGCGGGTGCGATGGAGGGATGGTCAGCAGCCCATGTGCTGAATCATGTAGGTTCGGGGGGATCGGTGAGTGATCCGTTGCTCTCTGATCGGCTCATCGAACACTACACTGAGATCTACAAGCTCTACCAAAAGAAGCGGGTCGCAGAGCCAGAGGCAGCAGCAGCACTGAGACTAGCGGAGTTTCTGGGTCGATGGACTAATCGAAGAAAAGATGCTCTTGATGCAGCAGGGCACGCTGCCACTGTCGGTGAGGGGTTGAGGCTACAAAAACGAGCTGTTTTATGGCAAGCATTGGCCAGGTTCAGCGATTGGATGGGTTGCCGGAGAAAGGCCGCGCTGTATCTATATCGACTTGGACATCTCAATGCGTCACAATCGATCTGGTCCTCTGCAGTCACGTTGATGATTGCATCTGAGCGACAGCTTACGAAAGGTGCAAAAAAACCATGGGCAAGCTTAAATCGTCGGGTACTGCTGACCGCTGCGCAGCACGCTGAGGAAGCAGGAGATTTGCACACAACAGCTCGGTTACGAGTAGAGGCCCTGGTCGTTGCCCCGCAAGGGACCACGGAAAGATCGGAGGACGATAAGAAGCTCCTTGAAGCACTTAGCACTGTGCAAGTGCCAGCGCATTTGCCAGCCGCTACTCATGTTGTTCGCCTTGGTGATATCTCCGCACTTCAACTTCAAGGCCTAACCATACGGGCTCGCAAAGCGGAGTCTGGCGTAAGTGAGTCTACGCCTATTTCCAAAGATGGACCGTTCATATATAATCCATTCGAGGCCAAGAAACGCGCAAAAGCGGAGGCTGTTGCCAGACGTGCTGTGACATGGGTACGCGGTGAACCCGCACAAGTAGGGGTTCGTCTCCTCAACCAAATTTGCGCGGATTTGGTCGTTGACGTTATTGCTGTGATTTTGGTTTCTGCCCCCTCTACTCGAGACGGCGAGATGGAAAAGTCTACAGTTGAGTGTTCCCTAGATAGCGTTGAGGGTAGCAGTAGCACGCAGGACCCTAGCAACGAAAGTGCAGCCCACAGACGGCGGGTCCGAACTGCTTTAAGGAAAACAAGCAAAATTGCAAAGAGTGTCCAAGAGTCTTTTGTTCTGCCGTCCAAAGGCTCGCAGTCTGGAAATTTGAAGAAGATCACTGTTATTCCAAAGCGCTCCGGACCTCTACACGTCGACGGGCTCCTTATACGTCTTTTCAAGGGAGCACTTGTGGTCTTGCGGAAAGAAAGAGACCAGGAGGCGCCTCCAGTGAACGTTGTTGCTAGCCTCCCGCAAATACGATTGAGTAGCTACAGCGTAGACGGAGGAACATTGCAAAACATTTCGAGTCAGGCCCCTCTTACTGTTTATCGGGGGGAGCGCAGGCGTTTCCGCATGGATATTGAAAAGACTGGGAACGAACCGATCACATGGATGCGAGTCAAAGTGCTTTCAAGCGACCCGGAAGCATTAGAAATATCCGGGAATGATTTCGAGTCCGAAGGCATATTAGACGGGCTCGAGAGTCAAGGGGCGTCCAAATCTTTTTCAGTACAAGTGCTAGGTAAACGAGGGTCGCTCAAGGCCAAGGGATCTTTCCCTTACGATGAGGGAAGCTCGAGCTCAAGATCGGCTGTTGTCTCAGTGAATGTCGAGTATGAAGGTTCGGAATCGTCAGGAATGGTTCGAGAATCTAAAGCATACGTGAAGATGGCGGTACTCACAGCAATAGAAGTTCACAGAATTAATGTATGCAACTACAGACGTGATTGCAGTGAACTCCGAGCAAATGGACCGCCCGAGCTGTCAATGTACGTGGAGGTAAGGAATTACGTTTCTGCGCCGGCCACTGTGAGTTTAGCGCCATTTGATCGATTGTGCCCCCAAAGCAGTGGAAGCCCCTCAAGACGTGGGAAGGGAATGGGGACTTTCGCCGATCAAGAATGCCTCGTCGAAGATGGAGCATCAGCGCGACTAATATGTAACTTAGCAGTGGAGAGCATCAAACCTTTGTTGGTGAAACTCCGAGGCTCAAGGCCCTCAGAGTCCGCAGAGAGAACACCCTTTTGTATTCGATGGAATTATTCGGCTCTTGGCCGGCACGGTTTTGTGACTATAGATATGAAAGAATTGTCAGAAGCAGTCGCACGCTGTGGCACCCACGGTTTGAACCAGCATGGTCCTGTTGCAGATTTACCGAGTTGTATTCCCTGCGTAGCTCAAACTGAAATTGCCATTAGCGTGGAAAGTCATTCCAATGAGGCTCTCACAGCAAATACTCACGCTCGCGGAAGCGCGGTTCCTGGAAAGGCTTTTTGCCAAACGAAAATTCACGTTTGGAACAAAGGTGACACAAAGTTGCCACTTCAGTCCGTGTTGGACATTGGTGTTGTGCAAAACGATGGTCACGGGGATGTCCAGGAGGCAAGTAGGGTAATCGTGGTGGGAGCCACCGAAAGAGTATTTATTGGCGCATTGGCATCCCGATCAGGAAGTTTTGAACACACACTTCGAGTACGAGTGCCTTCCATTGGAACATATCAGATCCGGGCGATTCTTTATGACGATGCCTTACAGAAGCGAGGAGGGAAGAGTCCCATTTCCTTTTTCACAAGTAAACGCCAAGACTTTCTTGTAATGCCAGGGAAGACCACACGCACTGAGTCGCATTTGTCGAAAACAGCGTCACTAGGCATCGTCTTGGCGTCAGATAATAATACAGCTACGCGGGACCCGCTGTCTCAAATGTCACGAAACAACGAAACAGGCCCAAGTGGACGAGATTTGAACCCATCAGGTTCTTTTTCTCGCAGCCCAAAGAATTCAAGCGGTTTGAAAAAAGTGGCGCCCTCAAGATCAGCACTCACAGCTGAAGGGAAGATTGCACCCATCATCATTCAGCCAAAAACGGTTGATACCTATCCTACGATTTCCCCGCAGCGCCGGCCCTTTGTCTTGGGATTCTGTTCTATGTCTTTAACAGGTGTGCAAGAAACATCTGCGATCGGCCGAAACGAGGATTTCGTCTCTTCGCCGTTATAGTCTATTCCCACTCATGCAGAGTTTTCAAATGAACTAACTTCATTAACTGATCCTCAATTAATGCTTCACTGATGTACTGTACAAACTTAACTAAACCTTTACCGCTACCGCCACATGGCTGGGATGAGTATGGCAATGTAGCATAAGATCTGGCCTGGCAAGACAATCCTTTAATTTCGAGAATTAAGAATCTGCAACGCCAGTCTTTCCTCATCAACAATGGATGAATCTGCCACTTGATCTTCAGCACTAGAGCTCACATTACCAGAGCCCCCATCTTCATGAACTTCGCTTCCTGAATCGTCGCTATAGCCCTGGTCAATAGAGACCTGGGAATCTGCGGCAGGCCGAATAACTCTATTTAATTCACGCTTCAGCGCCCGTTTGCGGGCATGAATTGATCGCACTCGCTCTCTCTCACGATCTTTGTCCTCTTCAGCATTCTGGGCCAAACGAGATGATACCGTCATTGCGTAGTCAGATATACCATGATGGTCTTCCGCATCCGATGAGTCTTCATTGTCATTCCCCATGTCAGACGCTCTGACGGCCTTCCCATCGTCGGTAAATATGAGACGATTGGCGCTAGGCATTGCTTTTAGCAAATCCAGTTTTCGCCTCTTGCGTTTCCGAATCACCTCGGAAACCTCATGAATGCTGTCACCCGCCTCGCCAGCATTGGTGTCCCCTTCCCAAGTTTCATGAACCTTCTTCAGGGTTAGTACCTCTCCTCCCCCGCTATGATCATCTTCTCGCGGCGATGCGTTATTTTCCCTGTCCTCTAAGCCTGCTGTTTTTTCTAGTGGCTTCGTCTTTTCACGGTCTCGACGGGTTTTGTACCCAAAGACAGTTTTTTGGTTCTCTTTTGCTTCTTTGTCCGCATGACCCACACCAACTGCTTTCCTGAAAGAAATTTTCGGGACCAGTGATAAGCCATAGCTTTTCGCAAGGAGTCTGAAATCAATCCCATCGATGTCAAATACTTCCCTATCGCTTTGCTGGTAGAGAGACTTCACGTAAAACATAAAAGCCCTCTGAGCAAGCTTCTTGAGCTCCTGGTTAGATGCCACAGTTGCTGCAATTCGGGGCTCGATCGAAGTGACCTTGTTGGGGTTGATCTTCGTCCGATGTAATTCTAGATTTTTTTCTTTCAATCTGCACAGAAATCCTTCCTCTTTCCCCTCGCTGAGCAGTAACATAGCTCTCCCCTGAGACTTGAAGCGTGCAGTTCTACCAACACGGTGTACATAAGTTCCGACGTCGTCTGGGCAATCTACTTGAACAACCCACTCCACGTCTGGGAAGTCGAGGCCCCGACTTGCTACATCAGTGGCAAACAAAGCAGCTGACTTGGTGCGGCAAAATATATCATACATATCTGTGCGTTTCATTTGCTTCATGTTTCCATGAATATGAAGCAAGGACATCCCTGGTCTCAGTTTGCAAAAAGTTTCAAACGCGAACCTCACCTGCTTTCCAGTCGCAAAAAAAATTATCATCTTTGACTTCAAATGGGTCTTAATGAACGACCACAGAACAGACAACTTATCGTGCACGGGCACAACAGCGAATGACTGCGAAAGCCCAACTGGAGTTCCCACAATTCTGATACCAGAAGTGTTCTCATTCCGCTTGCCGTTGCCGAGGCCTTCATTCTCGTTCGCCAACTTTCCCGTCTCAGTCGGCGATTCACGACTGGCCACGGCTACATACTCAGGTTCTCTTAACGAAAGCCGAGCCAGAGACTTGACATTCTTAGTCTGCGTGGCAGAGAACAGCAAGGTTTGCCTTCCCTTTGGGAGATTGTCCAGAATTGCATCGACAGTTCTTGCAAACCCCATGTCAAGAATCCTATCCGCCTCATCTAAAACCAGCAGTTGCAAGTTGGAGCAATCCAGGTCAGCAACATGGTCCATGTGATGTAGCATTCGGCCAGGAGTTGCGACGAGAACGTTCATGTTTCCAACTTTTTCCCGTTCACTATCGAAATCCTTCCCACCGATGACAAGGCCTGCCGAAATTGTGTGCTTCCTCGCCACAGACCTCAGCACTTGAAAAATTTGCATACTGAGTTCTCGGGTGGGACTCAACACAAGGGCACCGAGCCCATCGAGTGTATTCCATTTGTTTCGCCAAAGTACCTCCAGGAGAGGTATTATGAATGCAAGAGTCTTACCAGACCCGGTTGGAGCTGCTGCTAATACGTCACGGCCAGCTAATGCCTGCGGCACAGCGTTCTTTTGGATGCCCGTTAGTTCTGTGAAGCCTGCTGCAACAAGACCATCCAGAGTTCTCTTGGAAAGCGGTAAATCAGAAAACCGAGCTGCTTTAAAGACAGGGTTTTGGACCTCATCGTCTTGCTCAGTTGAATTTTTCTGCTGCGAAATCTTCTTTGCCCGTTGGCGGCGATTCTGTCGGAAAAGCTGAAAACGGTCACTAAACCGCGGAATCTCTGAGACCGCCTTTGACAACCGCGCAAGTTCTGCTTCCTCCTTCCTCCGAGGATTAGTTGCGGCGCTGGGATTGGCGCGTTGGCGGCCGCTGCGAGTCCGTTTTGAACCCGGCATAGTCTGTCAGGGTGATGATAACATGTCCGGACAAGTTACGCCACCGCCGCCGGAATACAACTTCTGGCCGTCACACGCACGCAATTAAAGAATTTAAATCACAACAAAAAAACTGAAATTGTTCTCAACTTGACAGAAGGCATTTTATTTGGGCTGGTCTTTCCTAAATTTTCTATTTTCTGCTCGCAGGTTCTGCCCGCAGGTTTGGGGCAATCGCTCGCATGGTTATGTTGGGACGGGCTCTGTCAACTGCAACCTCTATCCTGCACGAGTACAGACCTCGGCAACACGACCCTACATCCTTCTCGCTTTCCCCCCTCCCCCGCAACTGTTCCGAGCGACTCTACGAAGTATCTGTACTATCACTGAAGTTGCAATCCCGTCCCATTATAACCGATGGAAATAAGGACTCTCCTCAGTTTCCAAATACCTTAGGAGAGCCTTGGTCTGAGAAGATTTACTGCTACTCAAAGCTGATTGTCTTTTCCCTCCGCCCTAGGCTCCCTGGGTGTACTTGCACGTACTTGCACGTACAGGCGGCTAGGTGAAGGGCGTCGGAAAGGGAAAGCTTCATAGTCACGGAAACAGATCTCCTTACACCTGCAACATTGCGATGGTGGGTATCGGAATAGTCTTCTGAGAAAATCTTTTTGAGACGCACGACGAATAGCTTTTTGCGTCTCCAAACGACCACTCCCACTCATAGTTGAGAATGAAATTGTAGTGCCGCTGTACCGAATTTCCGTAGCGGGTTGCAATGGCCGTTCTGTGAACGCCCTTCTGCTCCAATTTTGAGATATAGAGCTTGGCCCGATACGCTGTACTTTGCGACTGAACATATTATTGTGCAGTACGTTGCTGTCTCTCGCTTATTGAATTCCGATATCGGCAGTAAACGCCGCTGCAAACTCCTTTCGCTGCTCTCTAGTGTCTAGACGACAAGCAATTTGACCTCATATGAGGTCAGTCATGGCCTCATATGAGGCCAGCTTTTTTTTTGCAAAAATATATAAATTAAATCGAAACTTTAAAACATTCAGTTTGGACACCATTTCTTTAACGTATACGCGCTCGGCAATAACATCTTGCAAAACATTGGGATGGCGGTTTTCAATGCACAGAGAGACTAAGAATCTAATGAAGTATCAATGATGAGTTGACTTTTTAAACAGGCGTTTTGGTTGTGAAGATATCAACATAAAACCTTTTGAGGTTGGTCAAAAAAGGCTCCTTTTTGGGCATTTTAAAAATGGCTGGAGAAGACGTGCAGATCTCACCAAACTCCACCCTTCCACAACGCAGAAGTCAACTGCCGTGTCGAGAGTATCTTTTTTCCATCTTGTTGAGCTAGCACAAGTCGAGAAAAATAAGTTGAAAAGTGACCTCATATGAGGTCATTTGTCACCTAGACACTAGTGTTCTAACTTTACACGTACATGTACGAGAGCATGCATTTTCGCTGTTCACAAGCATTTTTCAACAAAGCTATGCCATGTGCGAGATGGATGTGCGCACGTACCACGAAGAAAACCCAATGCGTCTTGTCGCGGCCTCGCTGCAACGATGTTCTGCTACGGGGATGTGCACGTGTAAAGACACCATTTTAATAAAAACAGAGCCACCATGGAGCCCCGTCAAATGCAAAGGTTGAGCAGATATTTACAATTTGAACTGCAAATCTGCAGTACTCCACCATCACTGCCGTAGCTGACGGTCATTCGGCAGCCCTTAAAACGAACTCCGAAAAGCACGTCTAGAGGCCTCACACATGCCCACACTGAAAAGTTCATGAGACGGGGCTCTCTTGTATCCCAAATGCTAGCGGCGAGGCCTGGCAACAACAGTTACGCGGTAACTTCTTCTTCTGCAAGCATCCCCCCAGCTGTCGGTAGTCTCTGGGCCTTCTTTTTGCCGCGTCGGAGCACAAAGAAGCCAATGACCACCAAAATGACAAGAATAACAATCACAATGGCTGCGATGGCCCCACCAGAAAGCCCTCCATTACCGCTCTCCCCACTCGCGGACTTGTCAGAGCCTGGGATCGCCTTGAATTCTGCCCCGCTGTCCTTGCACTCGCCTTCTCTTTTGTCCTGCTTCCCAACATCTTCGCACTTAAAGCCCATGCAGTTGTAAACTGACTGCAACTCTTTCATGACATCTTCAATGCTATCGTCCATAGGTGCCGCAGGTGGCTCAAAGTTCTTCCTGATGAGATCGCCGACGTCCTTGTTGCAAAAGTTGATTAGCGGGAGCGCAGCAGCCGAAAATGCCCACCCCCCCCCCTTGTTCTTTGTCGGAATCACCTCCTTTTTCCACTTTATCTTTGGTCTGAATCACGTATCGAATGATACCCTGAATCAACGGGATAGTCATTTGCCTGGCGATGCTATTCTTTGTCTCCAGCGCATCCTGGCAATCTTCTTTTTCAAGTTGCTCCTTGCCGCTGTTGAATAATGCCAACATCTTGACATTAACTTTTGCGTTGTCACCATCCTTAGTTCCGTAGTCTTTGGCGAGGTTTTCGGCCAAGGACCAGCCAAGCACGCCTTCTGTAGGATTAGTGCCGTCCTCATTGATAAGGCTGCCTACCCAGAAGGCCCAGGCCTCATCCCATGCCTTGACCCCATTGTCATTATCTTCAAGATCGCCCTTGAAACAGTCATTAATGGCGTCCTCCATCTCATGAATAACGTACATCCAAGTGGCTTGATACTGCGAGCCCTTGTTGGCACATTCGGCACGGAGCATGTCTGCCGTGCCACTGAAATCTCCCAAACCATTCAATGCTTTTGTGATGAAATCATCGGCGTATCTAGGCGTGCGCCAGAACTTCTTAAAGAGTTCAAAGTAGGGTTCGTTTTTCATTTTGTCGCCGGCGGAAGTGGAAAAGCCCTGAAGGGTGCGTAATCCTTCAGATTTCATGGAATGTTCTCCCTCTGAGTAGATTTTTCGTGCGGCATCCCAATCGATTTTATCAGTCAACTCCTCCAACTCCTCCTCCATGTCTTTTTGATCGAGGTCAATCTTGGCGTGCTCATCTACGTCCGAGTCAGGTGTGTACCCGGCAAGCGTGGTTTGGGCTTCGATGGCAGATATTAGCAAGAATGCGGTAAGTGCCACAAGGCAATGAGTTGTAAACGCCATGGTTGGGTCGCTTGCACAGGGATAAAAGGCCTAACGAGCTGAGGCGGATTTAGCGCGAGGGGAGAACGGGGAAGGTTGTACCGAAGAGGTGGGAGTGCGGGGCGCAGAGATCGCGGATGTACGCTGGCTGCGGCACTTCGTGCAAAAGCCAAGAAGGGGTCGGCCGCTGGAGCTCAAAGTGGCATAAGTCCACTGCGAGGATCACGAGAGCAGGCGTCCTACAAGACCAGAAGAGTTCCGCAGGAAAATACAGTGAAAGCATCCGATGCTGCGGCCAGCGCGTGGTGGCCGCACGAACCCTTCCTTGCGCACATAGTGGAGCAGATCCACAGTCACGCGTCAAACGGACGAATTGTCTCAACTGCTGTTGTCCCAACGCTAGTGGCGGATGTCGAAATGGATAGTAGTACTGTACAGCTGCTGTACGGAGCCAACGGTTCCGTAGTGCGCTTTGCCGTCAATGCTCCACACACTTCCACGAAAATGGTCGCGTGCAAAGCAGTACAAAATTTGCTTCTTCCTTGCTTTTCCACATCTGCAACGGCCAGCGACGCAAGATGCACCGCCTATTTTCCACAAACCTGCAAATATCTACAGTACAGTACAGGTACAGCACTGCATCACCAGCTTTTCAGGGGAGATTTCTTTATCGTGATATTTCCCTTATTCAATGTGGTAAAAGGGAGTGCCCCCTGGCCAGGAGACAGGTGGGGGGGGTGTGCACAGTATATGTAGTAGCGAAGTCCGATGGAGCTGTAAGGAAAGGAGCGTAGGGGAAGATCGTAGGAAGGATGAGCGTTAGCGAAATCCAACAGTCGCCGCGATCTGACTTGTAGTGAGGTGAATGAAAGCGGGGAAGTGGTGAGGAAGCAGAGGCCGTGGTGTTTGAGCGTGCTTGGGGATGATGAGCAGCAGAGGCCTTGGTATTTGAGCGTGCTGTAAGAGGGTGGTGAGTAGCAGAGGCCTTGGTGTTGGAGCGTGCTGTAAGGGGGGTGCTTGACAGTCGCCGTACAGTTGAAAATCTTGGAAAACGTTGAAAGTTGAACTCGCGATCACTTGTGTTGAGCATCAGTGCGCAGCAGGATGCGCCACGGGACCATAACCTGTGGTAAAAGGGAGTGCCCCCTGGCCAGGAGACAGGTGGGGGGGGTGTGCACAGTATATGTAGTAGCGAAATCCAACATTCAATGACCCCCTTTTCAGGATCAGACCTGCTCCATTCTTCTGTGCTCTTCGTTTTGTTGTTCAGAGGCGCATCACACGGTTCACCGACCTTGCTGCCATGAAAATTTAGTTGAAATTTTGCACATCCACACACCCTGTTGCCGCGATCGAGATGAACGTGTGCCAACCAAACCGTGGCTCCAACGGGAGCTCTGATGATTTCGCATCATCTATTTACGGTACAGACAGTCTGTAGCACCCCTACTGTACAGCATTTCAAAAGTCTGGATTTAAATGTCAGGATTTCAGGTGCGGAACTTCTGTCACAAATACTGACTTTTACACATTTTTCTACGCCTACTCCCTTCATACGGTGGTCGTCGTCACAGTCACAGTTCTTGTCGGAGCTCTCTGTACTCCGCCAAGCCCTGCATCAATACTGGACCACAACTCACCATCACTGTAGGAACACTGCATACCCGACATGCCCTCAGCTTGAGCGTTTTCTAAATTAAACACTTAGAGCACCCCTATCGGTGCTGTGTATATGTAAATATTTGGCATATAGAGATACATATAGCCTCTTTCATCCCTATCGGACTGGTTATCTCCAAAAATTTGGCCTTTTTGGCTATATTTATCTCTATATTGGAAGCCGGATGGCGACAAATTTACTCATTTGACCATATAGAGACGCGAATTACATGGCGCCACTTGGCCAAAAGACCATAGAACAGTGTCAATACAGTACCTCTCGTACTCGATGCCCCGCACCCCTCGTACACTGGGCGACTCCTGAAATTCTAAAATCGCAAATTGTGTTGACCAAATCGGGATTTTGTGACACACAAACGGCGCGTTGTGCACACACAACGCGCCGTTTTCTCGGACGGGCGACCCCATGCTAGGTTAAATGTGTATCGCACAAATGTCAAAATGTGCGCGCGTACAATCCAAATTTACTGTACACAGAGAAAGCGTCGGCCGCCGCCCGACCGACGAGACTCGACATCTACATCCTACCGAGCATGGCTCTGAATGAGAAGTAGCAATAGAATAGCCATTTGGTCATTCATGGTTCTGACGGTGGCTGCTCGGTGAAAACACCATCATGATTGAGCTTAGCTCACAGCACACACTGTAGATAGAGCTCCGACGGCGTCATCGCCGGCGTCCGGTGCCGTGCTCGTCGTTAGGAACGAGTTCAAAGCATGCGTACAGTAGGGGGACGCACATTATGTGCGCAAGCATTTCCGTGGTAAAACTCATTTTTTGTTCACAAAAAAGAAAAATATGACTCTGACACAAAAAATAATTTCCGGAGGCGCCCACTATGCCCTATCAGGGCACTTCAATTTCAAATTTACTCCTAAACCGATAGTGTTGCGCACAGAAATGCTATATGCAAACGCAAAATTTTACACATTTAGCCACCAAATTTAGCCAAACCGATAGGGGTGCTCTTAGCATCTGCACTCTGTTTTTATTTATTTCTACAGGGGCACAGAGTTCAGAACGCCCCATTCATCCTGCCTGACTGCATGCCCCTCTCAACTTGTTCCTTCACTATTTATCCAAACTTACCTTCGCAGTCATGTCTTTGACAGAAAGCCTTTGACAGCAGCTGATGAAAACAGCACAGTTGCTCTTGTCATAATTTATAACTTTTTGCAACTTAATTCAGAGTGTCAGAGTGGAATACAATAACTTTCTCCACAGAATCGTGTCAGCCGTGTATCAAATAGAGAGCAAACTCTATTCTGCAAAGAGCAAGCTACCTTTATATTGCGAAGAAGCTTGGTACGTCTATAAGCAAAGCTGTTGTTCCTTCGAAGCTCATTCAGTTTCTACAATTTTGCTCCCCTCTCCTACAACCTAACTTTCTTTTTTGCATTCTAAAGGAAAGATGAGAGCGCAGAAAATGCAATAGAGAGAAAGACTATACCCCATGTCGTCGAGATCGCGAAATTGTTCGGAGAGCTAGAACTTTTGGCGACTGAGTGCCAAGTTCCAGACGCTCTATCGCATCCAAGGTCGGCAAAGCGCGCATTTCTCACTGCGAAACACAACAGAGAACCAACACGGAGCAGGCAGACATTAATTACCGAGTGCATGCAGATAGATGTTCACATCTATCTGCATCTGACGGCATTAGTGCACATTGTGGGGTCTCGCATGGGGCGGCACTAATACGTAGGACCCACTCTACGCACGCCCCCGCCGGTTTCCCTTCCTCCAACACCTTCTCATCTCGCTCCTCCTCGCTTCTAGACTGCCCTTGTCCCATCCTTGACCAGGTTTCCCTTGGCGCTCACGACCGACACCCTCCGCCGTTCGCCCGCCCCAGCCCCCGCTCCCCAGTACTCGGTAGTTTCCCTTCACCTCCTCTTGGTGGCGCGCACGACTCCTCGCTCGATCTATTCTTGGAACTGTTCCCCGGGTTTCGCTTCCCCTCGTCCGGCCGCGCACAAATTCGTCTTGCTTCGTGGTCCGCGTGTCCAGATCGCCACGAAATGCCATTCTGTTACGAGCCCCATTGTAGACGGAGTAGGTACTGTAATGGATGCACAGATTGTAAACGACACTGCGCCTGTGAGTGTTTTGTTGAAGGATGTAGCAGGCGATCAGTGTGTGGCAAATGTGTTCGTTGTGAGCATCATTGTTCCTGTTCGGGGTCACCCACAAGGCCATGCAACGCCCCTTTAACACTAATCGTACCAAGCGAGATTAAGATGCCATCTTTACACGAGACGGGGTTGTCTACACTACTCGAAAGTCCAGATGGTTTTGGACCGAGGCTGACTTTAACAAGAAACGGACTTTTCCTCGAGGAACCGGGGATATTCCGCAAGAACGTTCACAAGTTAAGTGATCTGGGGCTGTCTTGGACTGTCAGCAAGATGTCAAAATGTGGGGGTTCTGACATAACAAAGGACGAGGTTCGTCTAGTAGCAGTCATGACAGATTATATTCTGACAGGGAGGCTAGCACTACAAGACCACCACGGCACGGAGATACCAATCGCAAAGGACACTAGCAGTCCGATAGCAACGATCGTGGTTGACCAGCCTTTACTCCTCATAACAGATAGGAGGCAGGCAAGGCTTAAAGGTAAGTTCTACTCGGAGACCGGGCGTGAAATTGGTAAGGTGCTCCCCCCTGGTAAGTACGGCTTCGTATGGGGCAGCGGTTCAGTCGAATTGCACAGAAGGGAGATGTATATATTGGATATGTTAGACAGTAGAGGGGTCACTCCTTGGGGACGAAATGACATTGTTCCCTCGATAATGGTCACAGAGGTATACAGAGACCTCTGGGGTAGGGGCATGTCTGAAATGGGAGATTTCTTTAAGAAAGTACACGCCCGAGCGGCCAACGGAGGTGAATGGTGTAACTTCTTAGTCGCTGAAGAAGACCTAGATTCACCCGACTGGTCAGCAGTCGCCATTCTAGAAAGCCAACTGAATATTGATTCAACGCAGGTCGGTATAGACTACGGAGCTTTCTTCATTCATGAATTGAGCCCGACGTTTAAGAGTGAAGAGTGGAAGGTGTTTGCTCGGAGCACGATTAAGGCCGGTCACAAAAACGGTCAACAACTCAGCGGACGCGATGGTGGGGTGTGGGCCACACCTACGATGCTCGAGAGGGAGATGTTGAGAAGGTTTAAGACTGCGCTACGATCAGGGCCGCTAAGAGAGAGACTCCAGACCGGTAGAGTTTAGTGCGATACTTCAGGTGTCCGTACCGTCTCTGTTGCACTTCCTCGACAACCCCAACTCACTCTTGGAAAGAAATGAGCCCACTGGGTGCTACTTACCCAGAATGAAGACTGTCAGAGCCGGAGGGATCCAGTTTGAGCCAGTACCACTTGGTCTTGCCTTAGGTGTCACTGTCCTTAAAGAGGCAGGATGGGCGCTTGATAGGCAGGGCAGGAGGTTGAGAATGGAGGGGGGTAGCCGTCAAGTGGCGCACTTGCGACTCAGCCAAGAGGCCGGAGAGTTGAGCTCAGATGCGTGGACGGACACTGAGCGCCCGGTCAACGGAACGAGGCTAGAAGTGTTGATAGCGGATGTCTTAAATTTCGAGATCGAAGGACTCACCCAACAGTCTCCAAAAACAGACAACAGGGACGCTTACGACGAGTATCTTATAGAAGAGACGCCTAACATAATACAGCCGATTCTCGCCGATCTCTCAATCGTGAGTGAGGGGCAGTCAAAAGAGGCGGCTTATCAGGTCGCAGACTACGGTGCTGGCAAAAACTATAAGGCACCTGGTACTTTTGCATATTCCTAGAAAAGTTTTTATGCTATCATAAAACCCTTTGCCTTATTGAAGGCCAATGAGGCGCTGATACTGCCCATGCAGTTATTGTTTAAAAAAATCTATGGTGGTGGACGCTATCGCGTCTTATTCCCCAAACGCGTGGCAAAAACTATAAATACAGTTGCATACACAGAGGTCTAATGCGCTCGGAACTAGACAAGGAACAGTGTTTAATAGCATATCTTCTTCCCCTTGGCGTACAAGGGGAAGTAAGTTTTCGGAGCGTATTGGGTGCAATATTTGCCCAAGCTTCCATGATACACTCAGTAAGAGACTCAATATCTTCAAATTGCCTCTGTTGCGCATAAACAGACCTCACGAGTATACCCCACAGATTCTCAATTGGGTTCAGGTCTGGCGAGTACGCAGGCCACTCTAGCAGCGATATACCGTTGTCCGAGAGCCATTTTTTCGCCAGCAGTAAACGATGGCAAGGTGCGCCATCCTGCATAAACGTCCAAGTAATTGGTAGATCCTCCGCAAAAGGTAGCAGATGGTTCTCTAGAGTTGTCACGTACTTCGCTCCATCCTGCTTTCCTTCCAAAAAAACAAGCTCTGATATCCTTGAACCGGCAAAGCATGCCCAAACCATAACACTCGAACTCCCATTTTGTCTCTTTGAAAACCACTCCTTCTGCTTTCTCAAGTCATGCCATTTATACGCCAAACCGTCTGGTCCATCTAAGTTGAACTTCTTCTCATCGGACCAGACGATTTGAGACCATTTTGCATTGCTCCACACCATTCGTGTCATCGCTCACTTGAGCCGAGATTTTTCATGACGCTCACGCATCGCTGGTGTCCGTGCAATTTGCTTGTATTGTAAATGCTCGGCTGCAGCAAGAACCTGGCCTACACGGCGAGCTTTGACACTCAGTTGCAATGCTTTCACAATCCCTGCTGACCCCAAATCTCTTTTCGAGCCTTCCCGTAAAATTCTTCGCTTATCAGCCTCCGTTAATTTTGGCGGCATTCCTCCCGCATTTTTGCGATTTTACCGCTTTTGATCCCGCAAAAAGTTTGTAACAACTGTGCGGGATCGTCCCAGCTCGCGGGCAATAGCAGATAGGGAGATACAGTTGGAGTGATGGACAAGGATTTGTCCTTTTTCAAAAGTTGTGAGCCTTGTGTTTCGACGCATGATTGTGCGTGTTTTGTTTTAGCTTAGGGAACCGCAGTGGCTCGTAGCAATGAAGAAGAGATAGTTTGCACTGTGTAAAGCTTTTTGGCGCGAAAGGAGCTTTTTGAGAGGTCTTTTGTTGCACGTGTATGCAACTGTATTTATAGTTTTTTCCACGCGTTTGGGGAATAAGACGCGATAGCGTCCACCACCATAGATTTTTTTAAACAATAACTGCATGGGCAGTATCAGCGCCTCATTGGCCTTCAATAAGGCAAAGGGTTTTATGATAGCATAAAAACTTTTCTAGGAATATGCAAAAGTACCAGGTGCCTTATAGTTTTTGCCAGCACTGTATATATACGACTCGAGGTATCCCCGGTCTCTCGAATTAATGTCTGATTATGTATTAGGAGCTCATCGTGGCAATGTGGCTGTGACTGAGCCAAGCAAATTTGAAGAGGGATTGGTAGATACAGTGGTGGAAAAATTACAAAGCACCCCCCAAAAACGGGCATTGCTGGACAGAGAAAAGCGCGTGTTTAAAAAAGAGCTTTGTAGCCCCTCATAAATGGACCGGGAAAAACGAATCTGTAAACGGTTTTATACAGTACGGCCAATATTTTGCATTACAGTCCAAAATCAAATTGACAAGTGGTAATATATATAAAGCACCACACTCCAACAACACCACACGGACAAGTTGTTCAGTGTTTGGCAGGAGAAAGGCAACAATAGCTCTTCAAATAGTACCACGAACACCACAGGTCCCTTTTCCATCCCCCTTACTGCTCGAAGACATGCCTCGCGGTCCGTCACTCAGCGCTGAAGAGCGAGGAAAATTTTTGGCGTTCCACCAAGCCAAATGGTCCCAATCTCGCATCGCGAAGGAGCTAAAGCGAAGTCGGGCGGCCGTGCAAAACTTTCTCCGCAACCCAGAAGCCTATGGGTCCAAAAAACGAGCTGGCAGACCAAGAAAGCTCACAGTCGCAGGTAGACGCATGCTCCTTCGCGAAGCATCCAAGGGTATTTTAGGGTCTAGAGAGCTTTCTCAAGCTCTACAACTGCCTGTGCAAACAAGAAGCGTGCGGCAGATACTGAACCAACACCCAACGTTGACGTATAAAAAGATTAAGAGAGTTCCGCAAATGCTTATTCATCACAAGACTGCGCGCGTCGCCTGGGCGACCGAAAAAGTTACCTGGACCATTCCGGACTGGAACAACGTCGTCTGGAGTGACGAAAAGAAGTTCAATTTGGACGGCCCGGACGGGTTTGCCTGTTGTTGGCATGATCTAAGACCTGAAGATCTAATTTTTTCGAACCGCCAGCAAGGGGGCGGCTCATTGATGGTTTGGGGGGCCTTGGCAGGGGGGAAAAGTGTGAACTGGCGATTTTGGAAGGCAAAAAAACAGCAGTTAAGTACATTGGGACGCTCGAGAGCTTCCTGTTGCCGTTTGCGGACCAAGAACTGGGACCGAGATGGGTCTTTCAGCAAGATGGGGCATCGATACACCGCGCTCATATCGTGAGGGAATGGTTTAATGAGGAGGATATGGTGGTTCTGGACTGGCCAGCTAAGTCTCCTGACTTAAACCCCATCGAAAACCTCTGGGGAATTCTGGCTCGGAAGGTGTACGAGCATCGACGTCAGTTTCGAGGGGTTGAAGAGCTCAAAGAGTGCATCTTGGCTTCTTGGGATGCCATACCAGCTCAAGCGCTCCACAACTTAGTGGGTTCAATGCAAAAGCGTTGTTTTGACGTTGTTAAAAGCAACGGACTGGCAACGAAGTATTAGAGACCCTATGCAGAGCACAATAAGACACGCTGTTTTATAGAAATTTCCACTTGCCAAATGACTATTGAACTTTAATGCAAAATATAGTGCCGACTGTATAAAACTGGTTACAGATTCGTCTTTCACGATCCTTTTCTGAGGGGCTGCCAAGCTCTTTTTTAAACACGCGCTTTTCTCTGTCCAGCAATGCCCGTTTCTGGGGGGTGCTTTATAATTTTTCCACCACTGTATGACCAGACTTAAAGGGGCGGTGTAAAGGGGGGGTCCCCTAATTACGGGACAAAAGTTGTATCAATAGGCAAAAAATATTCTCAAAATTGGACGTTTGGAGTCAATCGACGTGCGTTTAAAAGGCCATCGTGCCTACAGTCGTAGTAGAAAGGGCCAATGGCCATGCTCTGAAAAGGATTGATTGGTATGAGATAGACTGGAGTGGGTCAACGGGGCTTCAAAAACACAATAAATTAATTTATTGTGTTTTAGGAATTCCTAATCGCGGGACAAAGAGATCAGATTTTACTGAATTTTTTTGTTTCTTTGACACAAACCACGGCGTCTATGTCATCTTTAAGAGCCTTCAGATCTCTGCTTGCCGATATCATCTTGCATTCTCTTTTTAACTCCCATCCGGGCCAAGGCACGCCTTTCCTTCAACGACCTGCACTGTGCCCGAAAGACATTAACCCTCATTCGGCTCATTGCGGCACGACGTCTCATCTCCAGCGCACGCATCCGAGCAACTTCTATACAATGTTTCTCTAGCCTTCTGGCAGCTTCGACTGCCTTCCGATTTGCTTCAATTACTTTTGCCAGAGAGGCAGCTCTTCCTTTCTCCACCTTATCCCTTATCAATGCTAAAGCGTTATCAGAAGTTAATACCATCCCCTTCGTAGTGTCTAAATACCCATTCCCCAGCATCATTGCGTCCGAACATACCACTGATTCCTTCACCTCTTCCCTCTTCTTTTCCATGAGTATAGAAATCTGTTCCACCGACATTACAGTGTTAGGATCCGACTGCGATTGGGGACGGGGAACAGAAAGGAGCTGCTTAGGGTCAACCGGCTACATGCCAGATCTTTTAAATGCGGCTTTTATATTCTTCGCAGTAAAGGAAGTTTGATAAGCATTGTTCAGCATTCCACAAAAGTCGTACACATTAAACATGTCAACATTTTTCTCTGTAGACGAAAGGTGAATAGCGTCATTCAGGGCTTTCTTAAATAGTGAAAACATGACAACATCCAAAGGCTGCAGCTTGCCGCTCGTATGCGCGGGTAAGGCGTACACAATTATGTTGGCATCATTGTTGTCCAAGAACTCTAGCTTCCATTTACTTTTGGTCTACCGGACGGACTCGAGTCTACTTATACTCTTCGTCCTGCAGTACGACGGCGGTGAGGACAGTTTGTCCTCCACAGTATGATATGATGTGTGAGTGGTTGGCATGTACGGCACCATAATCGAAGTCCATGTGTGAGAGGTCAACACCCCCCCTCGATTGTGGTGGCGTGCAGGTTGATTGCTGCCATGTTACGGGTGAACAGCACTCTTTTGAGTGGTTTGGTAAATATATCAGCAAGTTGTGCTGCTGTGGGGACTTGTCGTAGGCGTAGGAGGCGGCCGTTGACTTGTTCCTGAATATAATGGTGCTTGACGTCTATGTGCTTGGTCCGTTTGGTAGACCCGTTCGTATGCGCCATGTCGATCGCCCCTTTGTTGTCGAGGCAAAGGGTGGGCGGGCTGAGGTTTATGATCGGGACATCCCCACACAGTGGAATGTGCCAACCTTTGGCCAGTTGTAGGAGCCACGTAAGGTCACGTTCTGCGTGACTGGCCGCAATGTACTCGGCTTCCGAGCTTGAGTGTGACACGGTGAGTTGTTTGCGGCTTACCCAGTCGAGTGGGGCGCCCGCGTACATGAATATGATACCAGTAGTTGATTTGCGTGTATCTGGGCATGGCGCCCAATCAGAGTCGGAGTAGGCGAGTAGTGATTGGCTGTCAGCATTGTCGGG